TGGTTGTGCATTCGGCTAAGCCCCGCCCCTCACCTGTTCGGCCTCTGCGGCCGCGCTCCCGGCAGTAGACCGTGGAGGTTTCCGTCTCCACCTTCGGCTCGCTCGGACAGCTGCAGTCTTGACAGCAAACCGTGGCGAGGCTGGGGGCCGGCGGTTTGGGGCAGCAGCTGTCTGGACCAATCAGAGCGCTGCTCTCGCTGGCTATGATGGTGCTTTCTGAGGGAGAGACGGTGAGAACAGAGAAGCAGCCTTTCTAACCACACGCCATCTTCATAGACCTACCTTTGGGATCTTCATCCTGGTCCAGACCTGAGGAGGAAGAGGAGCAGAGCATTAAACCCAGCCTGATGCAGGATGATGATGACGTCGGACAGGTGAGCAGGCGTACCCCAGAAGGTTTCCACCAGCGTGCTCTCCCGGATGGACGACTCCTCCAGCAGCGAGGAGATCAAGGAGGCGTCGGAGGTCAGGCTGTGGAGGCTGCTGTCGTGGAGAAAATGGCCTCCTGGTTTACGAGGAGAACCGGCAAGGAGGGACTCTGAGCAGGAGGCCGAGTGGCGCTGCGAATGACGGGGCCTGCTGCTCCTCCAGCTAACTCCGCCCACGCCATAGGAGGCGCCGCTGCGAGGAAGACTACGGTCCAGCAGGCCTTCGTCGAGCCGCAGGCTGCGTCTGGACATGAGTTCTGTCTGGATGGAGGAGGAGGAGATCTGCTGGTCCTGCTCAGAGTCTGACAGCGAGGAGGAGTAGCTGGAGCTGAGGAAGAGGAGGAGGAAGAAGAGCTTCTGATACCAGATCACAAACATGAATCTTTTTATTTCTAAAATCTGAAACAATCTAAGAATCATTAAATGAGGCGTGTTCCTGCTGGGATGAACCGACAGGTTTGGGATTTTTCTCCGTCTTTAAGGTTTTATTTTAGTTTAACAGAAATGCACTAAAAGTGCTTTGATTCATTCTGAGTGAACGTTTAGGAATGAGTGACGCATCAGAACCACTGAGGCTCCGTTAAACCAGCAGGTGCTCACTTCCTGCCCGCCTGATCGCTCCCAGTCTGATTAAAACAAATCCCTGTAACCTGATCCCACAGCCTGACCTACATACAGACACATGAGTGGAGGATACACACAGGCCAGTCCAGCCCCAGCTCGCCAGCTCCTCGTCTTCCTCTCCCATTACAGGAGACGCACACAGACACATTTCAACCCGCCGCACATCACAGAACGCACGGATCGCTCAGCCTTTAACCTGCCAACGCTTCCTGCCCCGGCCAGGGGTCACCGAGCCCATTAGGCTCCGCCCATAAACACGGGTCAGGTGAAACGACTCCAATAAAACCAGAACAGAAGAAGTCCAAAGTTCAGAAAACAAGATGGAAGGAAAGAGCTGCTGGTTTGGATAAATAAAAAAATCTGGAGCAAACAGGAGTTTTAAACGCTGAGAAATCAAAACTATGAGTGTAAAAATCCACAGGGAACGTTCCAGAAACACGATTCAATAAGCAGGTTTAACAAACTCTGGATTTATTTAACCTCAGGGTGGAAACTCAGTTTTCAGTTTCATAAAAGCTGCCGTGAATTCGTCCAATCAACTCTGAGGAGGTCCAAACAAGGATGAAAAGCCATTATCAGTCCAGAGTTAACGAGTCACCGTGGCAACAGGAAGTGCCCATTTCACCCAACTGGAAATGGAGATTTTAATGAACAAATCAGGAAAGGAAAATGTGTTTAAATGACAGAGAAACAGCCCTACAGCTGCAAATGAGAGGGAGAAGGAGAGGATTGCTGCTCGGGGTAATGGCTGTTATGGCAGGCCGTTTTTACATTTATTAAAAGCACTCTCCTCTCCGTTGTTCCACCTGTAGATTAAATTAGAATAATAGATTTAACTTAAATTTTCGCAGGAGAAATAAAAAGAATCAGTAAGAATTAAGTTTTATATACTTTAAGCGTCCATTCTTACATCTATCAGCTTGACTGAATATGCATTTATTATATCTGAAATACCTTTCTTTATATTCTAAATAATACAAATGATGAGCAGTAAAAATAGGAATATAGAGATCTCTAATTTATTTCTAGACATCTACAACATTTACTCTTGATGGGAAGATTTTCTGTTTGAAATTGTCTTTTTGAAAAGGAAAACTTTTTTCCCCCAGATATCAGGAATTCAGTAAAACTAATACGTATCAAATTGGCTTGCCATAGCCTGTTGTGACCTGTTGTAACATTACAGGTTATTAACAAGTTATTTCTTAAATGGTAGCGGATCACTGAGTCATTTAGGTTAATTCTTCTGGCAGTAGGTGAGGATGAAGAATAAAAATGTTGCTCTAATACATGGAACCTGTTCATCATCTCATGGGGTTCTTCAGTCTTCCATCAAACAGTAAATACTTAGAGCTGTTTGCAGCCGCGCCGGATGTTATCATCCCAGTAAATGGCCATTATTAAATTAGTATTTATATCTGAAATACCTTTCTTCATATTCTAGATAATACAAATGATGAGCCCTAACAATAAAAATATAGAGATCTATAGTTAATTTCTAGACATCCAGAATGTTTATTCTAGATGTGAAGAATGTCCTTTTGTTTAAAAAGGTCACTTAGACAAAAAAAACTGTTTTTTCAGTTATCAGAAATACATATTCAATAAATCTAGTACATATAAAAACGGCTTGCCACAGTTTTCTGACCACGATAACATTATAGGATTATTTCTTGAATGGTGGTGGATCAATGTATGCGTTTAGGCGAAATCACCTGTCAGCAGGTGAGGATGAAGAATAAAAACATTGTTGTAATAGATGGAACCTGTTCATCATCTCATGGGTTCCTCCTCAGGTTGATTCAGTTTTCCTTCACACAGTAATAAGTGTCTGTTTGCAGCAGCTTTGGGTTTATAATCCCAATAAATGGCTTTTATTAGCGCTTTTCATAAATCCCATAAATGGCTTCAGATCGTGCCAGTAGGCTCACTCCGTTGTTATGATTGAGTGAATCCTAATACTAACCCTCAAGTAATTATTTCCCCCGCCTGCAGATTTAATTATTAAGCAGTATTCTTTGTGAAACGTAAAAATGAAAATACAGATCTGCATCAGAAAGCTTTTTCTTTTCAATTGAAAAAGATTCCTGGATGGGAAGTGAAATGTCTTCAAACCTTGAAATAAAGTCCAGTGGATTGTTTTTAACGTGACTCTGACCTGGATGACTGAGAATCATCCAGCACGCTGTGTCAGAAGAAGCAACCTCAGGCTATTGATACTGAAGAAGACTTTTTTATCTGCTTAAAAGCTTTTTTATAAATCACACACTTTGATTTTTGTTTTTTAATCTATATTTTTAACCAGTTTGCTTTGGTTTTTTCAAAAAACAAAAACAAAAATTCCCCTTTGAGCATATTTTCATTTTACATACACAAACCTTGTCTCATTTTTCCTGTTTTCCGGTGCAGGACCTTTCAAGTTTACTTCAAACCCTTTAGGTTTAATTCTTTATTCCTAATAAATCTTCCAGGTTTACTCTTTGATAATTCACCTTTAAATTAATTATCAATACTGTGGAAGAGGATTCGGGACACTTTAATATGGAAAAAAAGACAGAATTCTGCCTTTAATCTCAGAATTCTGACTTTTTCCTGAGAATTGTGGATCTTAATGTAGATGGGCCCCATGAAGGCAGAGATGTGGAGCTTCACTGACAAAGATGTGAGTTATTTGGGAGGAACAGGAACACATTGGTGGAAAAAGATGGAATTAGGCAACTTTTTCCGTCCCTGCTGATGCTATTTGATGGAAGAGCAGAAGCTGATTAAAACAAGAGAGCTAGACTCTAAAACAGACATGGCTACGGCTTGATGCTAACATGTTTGTTAGCTGTCAGTCTCTAAAACAGACATGGCTACGGCTTGATGCTAACATGTTTGTTAGCTGTCAGAATTCAGTCAGAATTCTCAGATTAAAGTCAGAAGTTTTTTTTCCCATATTGAACTAAAATAATATTTAAAAATCAGTTAACTTTTTAATTTTTTTTTAAGTGGCCCTAATCTTCTTCCGTTTCTGCACAAAGTTTGAAATCATAAACGTCTTTCCGTTTCTCTAAAGCGATAGCCGCTTATTAATAACGTTCAGCCAATCAGCGTGGAGCAAAGAAAATTGATGTTGCATCGAGCCAATCAGCGTTAGAAGAGGGCGGAGCCCCGCGAAAAACAAACTAGTTTAGCCATGTCGCTTTCAGAGAAAAAACAGCAAATAAAACAACACAATATATTATTCAAATTAAACTATTTTACAAATTGAACGACCACGAATCTTTGAACTTACCTTCAGCAGAGTACAGAAAAATAAACTGAGCGGATAGCGGCGGCTGCTAGCTAAACACTGAACAGCGACTTCCACTGCAGATTAACAGCTGCCAAAACTCAGGCTGCTCAAACATGCCGAGAAAAGCTCATTTTATGGAAATTATCAGATGACAACGACTTTACCTCCGTCAGTCAACGAATCAGCGCCGCTCAGGCTGCTGCTAGCTTTATAACTACGAGTTATCAGCGCCTCCTAGTGGCGAGAGGCGGTAACGGCTCCAATGATTGTTCAGAGATCGTAAATTTACCCTAAGATGGTTCACATGGATTGAAATGATCTCAGCGAATCAACCTTTTCCTACATTTACGTGTTCATGATAATATATAGAATACCTTAAAAAAGTAAAAAACAAACAAACAAACAAGCCAAGTCATTATATTTTACACTGATAGTATATAATCAGCGTAAAACATAATTAATTTATGTTACAGCTATACATTTACACCCTAAATAAGAGGTTCTTAATAAATGTAACACTTATTAATCATGTTATTTATATTTGCATGTGGAAGACCATTATCTTGATGTCGATAAACTAAAAAATTGGATTTATTTTCTGCGTGTCAAAGCATTGGGTGACCTTTGTTCGAAGTGAAGCATCACTCCATCTTACTATCTTTTCGGTGAACCGGATGTAGAGAGCAGCTTCCGGCGCAGACTGCCCGCACGTGTGTTTTGAAGGCTTCTGTTCGGTTCGGTAGGTGCTGATCTCTTAGTGAAATGTTCTGGTTTCTGATGTTAGTTTGTGTTTAAGTGTTTCTGACGGCAGGAAGATTCCCAGCGCGGCTCTAACTGGGAATAATGGGAGGAAAGCAGCAGCGCGTGCTTCCCTCTGTGTGTTTAACTCAACCAAGACTCAGTTTCCTCGGTTCAGGTCAATCAGACATAACCGGGATTTTTATTGGACAAAATAAATCTAATTAAAGCAGAAATGGACCATCGATGGACAAACGACAGTTTAACCTCCGGTATCACAGGGGCGCCGCAAGGAATTTGGGGCCCCATGACAGACATTGATATTGGGCCCCCGACCCAGAATTACACAAGCTTTAATACTGCTATGCTAATGAAGATTATCCTCTACGCTGTCGATTTAATTTTTGTTAAAATATTTCTAATAAGGAAAATTATCAGAACCTGAAAAAGTTAAATTTACATTAACTTTAAATTTTACATTTACATCCTATCAAAATAGTAACTTAACGTAATTTAAATCAACAAGCTCAGCTGTATCTATGGATAGAAAAAGGGTTTTTACATTAGGTTTCACTATAACTTTATAAAAGGACAGATTATTTTTCGTTCATGTGAATGTTTATTTACAATAAAACATGTATTTTTGGTGAGACTCATGAGAATGATCCAGATTGATGTCTTTTAATGGCTGTAATTTAATCTGAATATAAAAATCTAACTAAACAGTTTTAATATTAACACAGATTTTTTATGTTGTTTCAGTGTTTACTGCTAATAATTTATTATTGATTTTACTAAAACATGGCGGGACTAATCGTTTCTTCTTTCGGGCCCCCGTCAGTCAGGGGCCCGTAGAATCAGTTTAAGTTGCCAAGTTCAATAGAACCATAAAATATTTTTTGAAATCATTAATATTCGTTGTATTTGTTTCAATAATTTCCTGCTTCTGGTTTACTGATTTCCATTAAAATAATCAACACAGTTTTCACTGAAAGAACTTAGAAAAAAGTCTTTAAACATCTGATTTTCTTCAAAGTGAACATCTGGAGGATCCTTCATGTTTTTTTCTAAGTAGTGATGCTGAGATGAAGCCTCATTGAACCGTTTTGGCCAAATTGGTTCAACGATCCCGACAGTTCATGAAGCTTCATGCAAATATGTCACCACCTACTGGTGGAAAGCAGAACTACAGTCAGTAATATAATCTGGGATTATTTTTTTTTTGCAAATTGTTTTTATTTTCTTTTTTTTCCCCCATTTAAGTTCCTTTGAAATTGTTAAATTTTGGTGTGTAAAATACAATCTTTTTTAGTTTTTTTTTTGAGTGTCTTAAAAGAGAACAATCATTTAAGGTTCACTGTTTTTCTGCAATTTTAGTGAAATAAGCTCAGGCTCAAGCAAAATGAAAAGTGTTAGTTATTTTTATTCAAACAAAAAAGTTTTTCCACAGGTTTTATTCTGGTTAGAAGTTATGTGTTCAACCAATCGTTTGGTTACACCAACCAATCTAATTTGGCAGCTTTTTTACCCGATCTATATTCATACTAAAGCAAACCAATACAAATTAGTCACATTAGCCAAAATACTTGTAAAGTATTATTGCAACTTTCAAAAGTCTGAGATGGGATTTGAACCAACAACCACAGGAAAGATGGACCACGTCTTGCAGCTAACGCCACTAGCTTAGAAAGCTCTGCAGAAAGCAATACTTCTTAACACTAATGTTTGAACTGCGTCCAGCAGCCTGCTCAGATTTGATCAATGCATTGTTTAATCTAACCAAACTAGTTTTAACCAATTAGATTGGTTGTTTTTTCAACCATTCTATTCTTAGAATCTATCCAATCTCTGTCCAACTGACAGCAAGTCTCCTATAAACTCCCACATCTTGACTGAGGCGGTTTAAATGCCTGCTGAAGTTCAGCGCGAGCTGAACCACTTCCTGAACCGGTCACATGGTAAGGAGGCTGTGGATGTCATCTATTTTGGCTCCTCCCCCTTGCAGAGACGCCCCCTCCACTACTCGACACGCCTGGAAGCATTTCAATCTGAGATGTGCGGCCTGCATGTTTTATTCCCTCCCCTCTAGGAAAGCATTTCTATGTCTAACTGTGACCCCTTCAGATGATGTGTCTCATCTCCTGATGTTTGCGTCTCCCTCAGCTCAGGAGCCACCATGACGTCATTGGCTCTCCAGCTGAAGAGGCTCGCGCTGCCTCAGAGCGACCCCAACCTGCTGACCCGTAAAGAGGTCGCCTCACTGCTCTTCGATCCTAAAGATGCCGCCACCATGGACAGGAGCACCTTCTACGCCCTGGGTGAGTCTGAGAGCAGAGCTGACGCAGAAGAACTTCCTGTTTTCCAGCTAACGTCCCGCTCTCCCGTCTTCTCCAGGCTGCACGGGGCTGGAGGAGCTGCTGGGAATCGAGCCGGCGTTCCTGGAGTTCCAGGAAACTCTGTTCAGCCCTGCGTCGCTGACGCTGGAGCGCAGCGTCCAGTCCAAGGAGGTCAACGAGAAGCTGGATGCAGGAATCTCGCTGTTTCTAACGCGGCTCTGCCCCTATTTTCTGCTGAAGCCGGCTCACAAATGCATCGAGTGGCTGATTCATCGGTATGTCGCTCTGCTTCTCACCTGAGCTCTGAGCAAACTGGCGGCGGGGTTCTGGTCCTGAAGAATTCAGTTC